AAAATTGTTGCCAAAAGAAAACTTGGAAAAATTGTTTTGCATTGTCAGTGGGATCACAGCATTGAATTGAAAAATGCTCAGATTTTGAAGATAAATCATCTGATGTAAATATTGTTTGCAAGTGTTTGGATTTAAACAGAAGATATGATACAGGAATAGTTTTTTCAAGAATATAGAACTTTTGACCCTTGTATATTGAAGAATTTTGAGTTTATTTTTATTCTACAGTGAGGATGGAGTCCTATCATATGAACAAATAAGAGTCCATAACTATTACAGTTTGGTGCTATCCATGGTTCTGAAATGTATAGGCAGTGACATCTCTTTGGTCAGTTTCTTACCCTCTTTGGGTTTCACTTATACTTCATCTTGTGATCCATACACAGGAATATTAAAACAGTTGCCCACATTCTCTGATTTGTGACGATTTCTTCCTTGTCCCTGACATTTGGCCTTGTTGTTATCTCCATCTTAGAATGTCACCAATTTTGAGCTACTTCTGTGCAATCAGTGCACTTGTCCCATCTCTGCGCTGGAATACACGAGCAAATCTACTGCTGATGGTGGTTCACCTCTCACAGGCTGTACTTGTTGCAGCCCTTCTGTGTTTACTGCTTTACTCTAGAGAAGTTAGACGAGATGAGTTTTGACCCATCTTTGTTGGCAGAAAAGTAAATATCACACCTGGGTCGACAATCATACAGCGCTCAGACTGTCATCAACCTGTCCAATTTCAACAGCACAACAAAATAAAAGTGAAGCTAAGAAAAATGCACAGTTCCTTTTAGGTATTCCCTCTCTTTGTCCCTATTCTTGTCTGTCTCATCTCAGTCGACACACAGCCTTCTGTGGCTTCATTTTAATTCCCGTGTTATTTGTTGCACAGTCAACTTTTTTCATGGCACCTGGCTTCAACAGACAAGCTGTTCAAATAGATCCTAATACAAACAGTGACAGCATGTGAGTGATGATCATATTTGTTTTTTGAAAAAAAAAGGGTACTGAAAGGTGGCACAAAAACTCTAGCTAAATGTTGCTCCTTGATTATATGAAGAACATACTTATTTTTTGTTTGCTTGCTATGTTTTCTGTGGGATTTAAACATTTGTGAACTTGTCTCCAACTAAGAGCTAATTAATAATTATTAGCTTATATTGATTCATCTTTTATACCATTTCATGCTCTCATTCACTACGTGGTTCACCAAAGGTCTCTCATGTTTGTTTGACAGCTCGGACATAATTCAACACAAGTCATACTTAGCTGTGCCCTACTGATCTTCCCTTTCAGAGGGAAATGTGAGATAGTGAGGTAAAGTGAGATAACCAATCTCATGTGGTTATTTTGGCAGGGAAAATTCAACAGTTGCTGAATCTGGTTTCAGAATGTTTGTCCAAATGTTTGCCAAATTTCAAACACAAAGATTAGTCCCAGTCCCAAAGTCAATCCAGTGAAAATTGAGAAAAGTTTTTAAGCTGTGCGGCGTTACATGTTCCCAGGGCAGCTGTACACAATGCAGACTTTAAGCTTGTAGGCTAGCAGGCTGAAAAAAAGTGTTTTTGTTTAAAAGCCTCAACTGCCTGGCGAACCATTCGTGCCAGGAAGAAAAATTATGGGAACATCCTTGCCAACTATTGGAAAACAATAATTCTTGCACTCTGAGAGGCTTTTTTTATTTAACTTTAACACAAGTTTTCTGCAGAGAAAATGGCTTTTACAGCTTCCCCATGCCTGTCAGTGTTAATGAAAAATTGCAGCATTGAAAGAGTCTATGTTGCCATGAGTTGAATTGAAAATAAAAAAATGCTATGGTCACTTCAGAATTATGGTTCAAGCAAAAAGGACATGCAGCTGCCTAATTTACTTCATTCATGAATCACTTTGACTTTTTGAAAAAGAGAATTTGTTTTGGAAAATAGAAAGTACAAGAAGTTGAAAATGAAACAGAGTTAGTAGGTGAGATTGCCATTTAGCAAACTCACCTACTAACTGGTATTTAGCCTCAAATAGGCTGCATGCCCGTAACAAGGGTCGTTGCAGAAAGGGGGGGTGGAGGTGTGGTGTGGTGGTATGTAGCCCCTTTGAGGCTAAATACCAGAATTTCCCAGCAGTTAGTCACAACTGAAGTAGCCTCTTAGATGAGTGGTGAAACTTCTTCAAAAAACCTCGTCTTTGAAGTTGCCTTCGATGTAACTATGTAACTATTTTTGATTAAATGACCAGGATGACTGAGAACCTACACAGACATGTTTCTATAACTGCTAAGCCTAACCCTTACCAATTTCAATCTTTTGCTGTAGGAGACAAACATGATCAGTCCTAATCCCGAATCTGGTTCTACCAGAGAGTTTACACATTGACGAAAAACTATATTTTTCTCAATTGTTTTTGCACACACCAAAATGATGCCATCATGTTTGCCTCCTTGCTCTTTTTCTACATCTTTCCTTTGGTGTACTGATACATTACAGCCTCATCTCTTTTCTCCATCTTCATTGAGCTGCTGCGTTTTAATGCCTCTCTTTCATCAGCCAAAAGGAGGAGGAAGCGACCAGATCTTAAAGACACACACAAATCAGACAAGGTTAAGACAGGGTCCATAGTTAGACCATGGATACTAAATTGTGCAGCAGTAAGGAAATCATTGAAAACAGTTACGTTGAAACCATTGTAATTTCTGTTCGTAGCTGTGATGACTTTGGTCGATTGCAGAGACAAAGGGATACATTAGTCCCTGTGAGACAAAAATAACTCCTCAATAATTCCTTGAACAATAGCCGTGTATGTTGAAATGTGTGTGAAAAATGGCAGGCTCCCAAAAGCAAACAAGCAATCAAACATGAACATCACTGTTGTTTACTTCTTTCAGAATTTAAATGTAATTCTCTAAAAATCTTTTTTTTCTTGAAGAAGCATCACCATCCTCTCTGCAGTCAGTTCCATTGTTTTCTATGTTTAAAAAAAAAATTCATTTAAATCTTAAGAGCTGTTGTTATGTTACACCAAAGTGCAGATTGCACACACTGGCTGAGGAGCTTGTTTTTTCCAGAGATGTTCTTAATCAATAGTAAAACAAACATTGACTTTTTTTTCACTCAATATTTTTCTTAAGTTTGTGTTAGGGCCTGCACTTGGATTAATACTTCTGAATTTAATGCACATGAAATGAATGGACCACATCTGTTCCCAAGGGTGTGCACCCCCCCCCCCACACATAGAAAAATAACAAAAATAAAAACATTTCAAATGTTTTATCGTAATAAGTTCAGTTTACAAAATGTACAAGTGTAATATTGCTTTTCTTTATGGTGATTATTCAATCCACACAAATTTAACCATTAAGAAGCAGTGTTTAAAAAGCTTTTTTTTATTTTTATTTTTGAATTAATCGAGCCTGAAAGATGCACAGATCTAAGACCTGAATCCACAGGCAACGTAAAAAGCAACAAAAATGACCTTAGCTTCAATGTCATTCCAAAACATCAATATTATCACTGAAGTAAACATGGTATTATTGACCTATAACAAGTGTAAACTCCATCCTTCAATTTTTCTCTTCCTGCCTAGGCCTTCAGTTTTGAGCATTTACTTTTGAAGTATCTTAAATATATGACTCACAGGTTGGAAGTGTTATTTTGTTTTTAATTTGGTTGAATTACACATTGCTATTGTTACAATAGTGGAAATATATCAATGAATAACTTTTGTATTTTTGCTAATTGAAAGAAATTTAAATTTTTTAATCAAAAATATTTTTTTCACTGAAGAAGTGAATGCTGTACGTGCATCTGAATATGCATCAAACATTTAGAGGTGAGATCTTAAAACATTTCACTGCATTTTCATTTCCTGTTAAAGTGTCATTGTAATGCAATCAGTGTTACATTGTGCGTCTGAATGTACATTTGTCATTCTATATGTTCTCTTCAGCCCTGGATAATGTAAGTTTAATGTAAGTGTTTGAGTCTAAGGATATGGTCAGATTTCTCACAGTTTTGTGTGTTTATTAGAGCAACTTTAGATGGATTGTCTGTGTAAGTATTGAATATCCAGTGCTGTCTATGTGTTTAAATGCGTTTGAAATTTTAATGTGAAAAATCACAAATTATTTAACACGTTCCTTTCCATAAGCCCTGAAAAGAAATAGTCAAATTAAACCCTATACTGTGTTTCCTTTAGGGAAAAACTAAATTAGTAAGCAGTTGATTAATTTAAAAATAGTTTGGGGTTTCACTTCATCTACAGTCTGTTGAAATTTTAATTAGGTTGTGCTCCACCGTTACAGTATTCATGGCTCAACGGAGAAGCAGTGCTGGTTGTAATCACCTCATTTAAAAAGTGAATTTGTAAAACACTAACCTTGAAATTGTTTTTTTTTTTTAACGTAAAGTTTTCGAGCATAATTTTAACTGAGTCTGTCCTCCAAACAGGCTCTGTGTTTGTGAGGATAATTCCTCGTAAATTAATTAATAACAACTTTCCTTTTGATCATTCTCTCTAAAGACCAACAGGATCAGAAATGTTTCAAAAATAATCACTAAACTCACATGTCTTCTTCTGTTATCATGTTGCTCTCTCTTCTTCATACACACGCACTCTCACTACACTTCCTCAATCCACCGCCCATACATGTAACTGTTAACTCCTTTATAAAACACGAACAATCAATACGTCTCCAGTCACTAGATGGCAGCATTGCAACTAATTTTATCATCTGTTTTAATAATTAGGGTATTGTAAGCAGAATGCTGGTGCCAGCAACTCTTACAGTGGTTTGTACAGATAAATAAATAAATATTACCGGGCACCACTGCCCTGCTACATCAGTATTGGTTGATATCAGAATTGGAAATGAAGTGTTAATTTAAGTGGACAATGTCAGTCTATCGGATGTCAGCAAAAAGTTACTATCGGACATCCCTAGTTAAGGGACAAATCCTTTTTTATGCACTAGTTGTAATATGGCCTTCAAAACTAAACTAAACAAAACTGATTTACAGGAGGTCCATGGATGGGTGTTGGAGTTAACTGAATATGCAGGAGAGGAAGGCCTTCGTAACAAGGTGAACAAATAATTTGGTTTTCTTTTTTTGTACTTTACTGTATAAAGAGGGAAACCTGCTGCCAAATACATGAATTAATGTATGGAAATGGAAATGAAAGGTTTTCACTGAGGTCCCAATGCTAATTTGATTTAATACCTTTTTTTTAAGATTTCAACAATTTAAAAGAAATGTACATAATTTCTAATTTATGTAAAGATTTAGGTCATTGAATCCCAACCAATGTGCTAAAACACACTAGTGGATCATGAGAGATTGTCAGGTGTGCCGTGGAAAATTATTCAATTTCCAAATAGATTTTTAATGTACTGCAAAAAACAGAGTCATTTATTACTCTTCCAACAGGTGACAGCAGATACTATAAAAACAAAAAAAGAAAGAAATTCAGAACATTTGTTTGTTGCAAGATTTGTTTCATACTGAGTTTGTAAATTGAAACCAAAAGATCATTATATTTACTTTTAATTATTGGGATTTATTTGCTGTGTTTTCTCTCATATGGAAATGTGTGCTGTGGCCTAATAAGTTTTGAGAATCACTGATCACATCCAGTTGTAATCTGTAAGGCCAGGGGAAATTAATAGGACTTCAAAGATTTGTCAGTGTGCCCTATGTGTCTCAATGTAAGGGTGGCAGGTGAAATGCAAGGAGCTGAGGCAGTAAAGGTAGAGAGAAATACCTGCTGTCAGTTACATGGAGCCTTTGTCAATACACAAAATATGTTGTGAAGAGATGGCATGTCAGATGGAGTGGTTTTTACCACCAAGTTTTGAATAGATATTGGAGGAATATCAGGAAGTGTAAAATGACGTTCAGACGACATATGGAATGGACATAGTGACGCTGTCCAAAAGACATGAGTAAGAGTTGGCCAGAGTCAAAAGATGCTGATACTTCATAAAATTGAGCAGCGTGGAGAGGGAAATTATTGAAACGGTTTTGGCATGTGTTAGAAATGATTTGGACAGATATGCTGGTGTGAAACCCCAGAAAGGAGAACTGTGGGTTTTGGGAATAGCTGAGGACGAATTAGTCAAGAAAAATCTTGCAAAAAAGCCCTCCAAAAAGAGAACAAAAACTTGGTCGAATGGTTTGTCCATTGTCCATTTTCCATTTTTGTCTCTGCTCTTTAAATGTGTCATATTCTTTCAGATGGAAACATTTAACCTTCATGATGGTGTTAAATATCACGTGTCTGTGATGAGGCCTTCTGGAGATGTCTTGTTATTATCTGTAATTTCCAGTTAAGTTTTGGTTACCACTTCAGACTCACCTGCTTCCACTCGAACTGTTGATTTCCCAAATGACTCCTGCCAGCTCTTGGAGAATAGTTGTGAACTTCTTCTATCCAGCTGTGGATGAATAACGTGATGATAGATGAAGAGCAGTTTCCCAGTTTGTCTGAAAAGCTGCCGCGTTCTTAATAACCTTTCCTTTGTAGACAATGTATTCTGATGTTGAGCTCTTATCTGAAGTTGGTGGTTAAATATAAGTGAGCATGAATGCAAAATGGGCCTATCCTGTTTTTGAGCAATCAGACATAAATATTCAGTGTCTGTGTTCAACCTTAAAGAGCAGGAATATAAGTTAAATCATTTTGAAATAGCAGCCTGGGCTGTTCGCAGTTTTCCCTATGAATGTTTTCTGTCATAAAGATCTTTGTATACATTTTTTACTTCTAACAGAAAAAAGTTTTCATGTTGTGGATCCGAATAAGGACCGTTATTTACTATTGAGACAAGTACAATTGCCAGGTTTTCTCTGCAGCATCTTAGCAGGATGACATTCTGTCAGCTTCTCTTTGCCATCATGTTCCTGTGAACAATACACTTCAACTGCATTTTTACTGCATGTCTGGAAAAAGAAAATGTTGCTAATATCTAAACACAGATTTGGGGGGAAACAGTAGAAATAATAATAAAGGCATATCAAGAAGGCAACAATCTGGATTTTTTTCTGGTTCTAATTTTTATAATTGGGCTCTGCATATCGACCAGTACTCCATACTTAACAAACCTCACCATTTGGCAGATACTGAAGGCAACATGTATGACTGAAACCTTACTCTCCCAACATTGTCCACACACACCGTACAGATTTGTTATTTATTGTAGAAATAAATGACAAATTGTAAAAAAAAACAATTGTATTGACACCAGTAGCAACTGAGAATCACATTCTAACACAAAACAGGACTCTAGTGTCTTTGTAAACATATATAAACAGGAGGATGTCCAAAAATAAAGATGTTTAGCTTCCTAGATTCACATTTAAAATATGACATCAAGTCAAATGTTCTTGTAAAGAGTCAGTCCAAACACAAAATCAAAATCCAGTGTAAAATGTTAAACTTGTAAACAGTTAGTGCAATTTGAAAAAAGTGGTTGTTGATCCTGAACAATTATAACTGCTTCTCTGGTACTGTTGACAGTCTGTTGCTTGAACGTTAGTCTTTGCAGTGCTTCCAACAATTGGTGTATTATGATACTACATCCTTTTGCTTTTTTAAGTAACTCTGTGTTGCAGGTTTGACATTTTTCCATACTGCCGTCTTGTTTTGTCCTGTGTTTGTGGTCTTCTGCCATGCAGGCATGCTACTAATGTGTTACATGTGCATGTCTCAAACATATTAAAAAAAATAGGTCTGTATCAAGGTTCAGTCCTATCATCCATTTCTTGACCTAGCAATTTAGTATATACACAGTGTTTCAATAAGTCTTTGGCCAGCACTTCTTCTTTCTAGTGTGCAAAAGTCCAACTAACAAGATTTATCTCCTCCTTCAAAATAAATCACCAAACTCTTCTTTGATCTGTGCTCTGTTATTTGCTGTATATTCCATTGAGTCCATGAATCAGCTATTTTCCTGTGTACATCCCAGACTGCCTTTTCTCCTCTTCAGAATCTGTATATGCACCAATGACTCCTGAAATTTGGCACAGCAATGGGAAATGATTTGCAGTGTGTCTGGGACCATAAAAGGTAACAAATGTGGATGTCAATAAAGGCAAATGTTTCGTACTTCCTAAATGTCTAACCTGTCTAATTCACCACTTGAAATTTTCAAACAATCAAAATGCAGAAAATTAGGCAATATCTTTTCCAATGTAAATTAGTCAAAGGGTTTAAATACATTATGTATACGTTAAAGAAGTAAAACAATATGGCAGGCAATGGATATGGGGAATAAAAAAATATTGACAAACAATGGGTTCTCACTTTATTGTCATATTGATCTCAAACACACTGCAAATGCCATTTACAGTTAATAAAGAACAAGGAGATACATAAGACTGACCTCTACAGAACCTGGTCTTCAGTGTCATCTGATCTGTTTTTAAGTAGTTGAACTGAAAGAAAATGATATTAAACATGTATTGATGTTTGTCGAGAGGATCAACAAATCCCAAATGCCGACCAAAACTTGTGATCTACAGTGTGTGAGCAATGCCGCATAAATACATAAAAAATTACATTTAGACACAGCCCGTCTGTCTACGGGTCTGTGTCGTTTTGAAGAGTTAATTGCTCTGCCTGTCACTGTTACATATGCTAGACACATGAAGACAAATTATTTGCAGTATATAAATGATAGCTTTAGACACCAATCATTTTGCATAGTTGGATAATTTTTTAAAATACCTGATGATCTCTGGTGGTGCAGGCAATGGATATGGGGAATAAAAAAATATTGACAAACAATGGGTTCTCACTTTATTGTCATATTGATCTCAAACACACTGCAAATGCCATTTACAGTTAATAAAGAACAAGGAGATACATAAGACTGACCTCTACAGAACCTGGTCTTCAGTGTCATCTGATCTGTTTTTAAGTAGTTGAACTGAAAGAAAATGATATTAAACATGTATTGATGTTTGTCGAGAGGATCAACAAATCCCAAATGCCGACCAAAACTTGTGATCTACAGTGTGTGAGCAATGCCGCATAAATACATAAAAAATTACATTTAGACACAGCCCGTCTGTCTACGGGTCTGTGTCGTTTTGAAGAGTTAATTGCTCTGCCTGTCACTGTTACATATGCTAGACACATGAAGACAAATTATTTGCAGTATATAAATGATAGCTTTAGACACCAATCATTTTGCATAGTTGGATAATTTTTTAAAATACCTGATGATCTCTGGTGGTACAGCAGTTGGGAATCACGGGGTTTATACTACTACTACAACTACTATAGGGTGCAATGTTAGAGGAACACTGAGGAGATTGCCCTGGTGTAATGTTGAACAGAGAGGTCATTTGTCTGTGGGGGCATGTTTATTATCATATTACCCAATACCATATTACCAACAGTTCCAGTACATTCAGTATAGTTGACTACTCAACACTGATATGTTACTGTATGAATGTTTATCACTACATTGTTAACAGTTGGGTTAGTATTAAAACAAGGTATTTGCCTTCAAAACTTGTAGTTCTTGGTAAAGGTGGCGACAGAAAAGCAGTGTTTTGTATAGTTTAGGCTGGTGGTGTGATCCTGTTCAACTGTTATGGTAGAGTTGATATTTGCCACTGTCTGCTGGAGCTCAATGACTCTTACTGCGAGTGTGACATCTCCCTTGCTTTACCCAGTTTACATGGTGTGACTCAGAGCCCAGGAATGCATGTACAGACGGATGTCTCTGCTTAGACACCTTCAAAAATCGCATATTCAAATAACTGTGTCAGCCCCTGACATATTCCTGTTTTTCCCTTTGTCACTTGCCAGACAGCAGCGGTGTGTTGTTGTGAAGAGATAAGATGAGAATGATGGAGGCTACGTGGATTGTTTATCTTTCTTCTGGTTTTTTTCTCTTCTGTTCTTTTGTTGTCCTCACATAGTGCAATGTTTTCTACCATGGCAGAGGATGAAGGTGCAGATAAAGACTGATTGAGGCATGTGAATGAAAACAACAAGTCAAAGACTCTCCCTCTTTGATCCTCTCCCACCCTCAGTTTCCCGAATCCTTAAATTCGGTCCTGACTGTGAGTCATTGTCAGAGCTCACACTGTCTCTGTAGCACTGAATACTCTCTGTCGGTCTGTATGCTCGTGTGAATGTGTGTCTCAGTTTCTGCTCTTCAGCTTCCCTGCTTTATTTCCTGCTCTGCTTTGATTTGAGCTGAAAAGCTTTAAGCTTGCAGAGACAGAGGGAGGTCACAGGCACATACACGCTTAAAAGCCTCCGTGTGGTAAAACAAGGAACAAAGTGCATCAGGTGTGTCTGTGTTCGGGGTCTCCACCTTTTTTGACACTTGAACACTGGGAATGCAAAAAACACAGAACACTCTTATTTCTTAACAACCATGTCGACAGACATATCCTATTGTCGTGGAGAGGTGTTGGTCTGTTTGAGAAGACTTGAATCATTGGCAAGCATTAGGCAGAGAAAGGGAAACTGTAGAAACTACTGAAACTGGGTAAAGAACTTACCAATGCTGTAGAGATGGGGGGAAAAAATCTTAACTGGCCGTGATCAGCAATCACTATTATATATATTTATATATTTATATATATATATATTTAGTGCATCAAATCACAGAAAATCACAGAAAAACAACAGCAGAAGTCAGGGCAGGGTTTACTAGTGAAAGTAAGAGTATTCCCACCACACGCCAAATGCTGAGGGAACTCAATGGATTGGGACTGAACAACTCTGTAGCCCTAAGAGAAAACAGCACTAATCAGTCAGGCTAATTGGAAAAAATACTTCAGTTTGCAAGGGAGCATAAAGATTGGACTCTGGAGCAATGGACGAAGGTCATGTGGTCTAATGGGTCCAGGTTTACTCTGTTCCAGAGTGATGGGAACATCAGGGTAAAAAGAGAGGCAGATGAAGTGATGTCTAGTGCCTTTCGACCAACTGCAGCAACCAGATCATAGCAGCGCCCCCTGCTACGATCTGGTTGCTGCAGTTGGTCTGGTCTAGGTTCAGCAACATTATGTGACAAAGAATGAGGTCAACTGACTACCTGAATATACTGGATGACCAGGTTATGCCATTTATAGATTTCTTTCCCTTGATGGCATGGACATATTCCATGCCTGGATGCAACGGGCTGAAATTGTGGTTCAGAGAGCATGAGACATCATTGTCACACATGGACTGGCCACCACAGAGTCCAGACCTTAACCCTGATGAGGGTTGTACTGGAGAAGGCTTTGCGTGGTTGTCCATCTCTCATCAATACAAGATCTTGGTGAAAATTGAATGCACTGAAACAGTAATAATCTTGTGACATTGCAGAAGCTTATCGAAAAAAAAATGCCACAGCAAATGCATGCCGTAATCAAAGCCTAAAGGCAGTCTGACGAAATATTGTGTGTGACCTTTAGGGGGTGAGGCAATATATGTAACCATTAGTACCTCTGCTTCTTTTTTGGTTGTCTGTCAGTTGCAAATGAAAATTCTTGAACTTTTTATATTTATTATTTTTTTCATAAAATTAAATTGTTTCATTGGTGCTTGTTTTCACAGTTATGGCTGTGCTGTTGCTGACAGGAGAGTCGTGTTTCTGATGCTGCAAGAAATAACAGGTAAGTTAGTAGTTTATAATATGTTAAAATAAATGTCATATTTATGTATATACATATAAAATCGTATTTTATGAAAATGTATCATTCATACATGTATTAGCAGAATGATGGTATTAATAGTGTCCAGTATTGAATGCACTATGTAAGAAAGACTGACAAAAATTCATTATCTTCAAACTTATTCTAACCATTAAGTCTTAAATTGCTGAGGCACATTTTATTTTATTGTTACCTGCTTTCTTACTGATTTTAAAAGGAAAATCATTACACTGTGTTATGATGCTAATATATTAAAACAAAAACACTCGTTGTCATTTAAATGTATCAGTTTCTAAATGTATTAGACATAGCATTTGTTGTAGAGAACCGTTACAATTTCATGGTGTGTGTGTGTGCGTGTGTCGATGCATTCAATGTGGTTGCATTAACATTAAGTATCTTGTCTGAGACACAGGCAAGGCATCACTAAGTGTACAATCAAATGGCTTTGACAGAGATTGACTCTGAGGCGAGACAGGAAATGATCCATGTCATGGCTAGTGGCCATCATTTGATGCATCCATTGGAAACTGGATCCGTCATTGTGATCAGCACAAACCATTGATCTGTCCAGTTAACGGATGTGGGAGCATTTGTGTGTGTGTTACCTCCTCACATGTGTGTTGCCTTAGGGTTAGTGATGCTGCTGCTGCTGTTAATTCACTTTAATGTCAGAGCTGAATGTAGAGCAGGAGGGAACAGGCGGATAGTTTCCAGTTACTCACTTCTACTCATTTTGCCACGGTCATAACTGGAACAGACACCACATCCCAAATGTTGGGTGGTATGCACCTTTGCGGTCTCGTAACCTTGAATTATGAGACCATCACATCACGAAATTGAGCAGAGCTGAGTGTCCGCATTACACAGGACATGCCGTCGGGGACATTAATGGGAAGACATGCAGGGCGGGAGTCTTAACTGCTCTGCAAGCCCCTGGCTGTTGCTTCTCAGACAGGTGGAAAATTGTCCCGACAAGCGTTCTCTGAACAGGCAGTAATGGAAAAGATATGGAAATGGAAGCGTTAAAAAATTACCCAATATGATAGTGATGTGTGTTTGATGTTGTCTTAACCATTACCAGGTGCTTTGTCATTTTCCTCTGGCTTTGCCACTTTGCCTTTTAACCATCCAAGTGTTTCGTTGTCTAGTTGTTTAATAATGATTATAACTGACTGTTAAAATGTATAACATATGTGGAAATAAATCAGTTCTAGTGGGATATTTAGGCGCAACGCCATGTTGCAAATTTATAGCAGGCTTAAAAGTTCTCAAAACCTGTCTGTCCCAAACCTTTTACCCAAATTTAGAGTTATATTAAAGTTACTAGATTATAGTACAAAAAACCCCAAAATTGTCATAATCTTTTTGTAGATGTTGAAATCACAGTGATGTGACCAGATTACTCACTGACTCTCGAAACAAACAGCATTTGTTACACATAGTGAACATTAGTATAATGTTTAAATATTGCAAAAAATACCCACAGGTAAATAAATTTAGCAATGTAGTGTAGGAGTAGGAGTGTTTGATAATGGAATAGATGATAATTACAATTATTTTTAATAACATTTTACAATCACAATTATTTAACACGATTTCTTATGACAAGTGTAGGAGACGATCAAGTTTAATCAAATCTAATTCTATCCAATCTAATATTCAAGATTCAAGAATTTTATTTGAACATAATGAATGGCAAATGGGATATTTTCCTTTCTTTTTACCATCCTGTTAAACTGTACCTTAAAATACTTCGATCTAAAAGTTGTACAAAAAAGGTAAACGAGTAAAAACAATTAGTATATATAGTAGTAATATATATATATATATAAATATATAGTTATATCATGTTGATTTTGTGATCGTTTGAAGTTGAAATTAAAATTTTATTCTAGAGAATTATCGGAGGTTATAGCCATGTAACGCAGTTATTTATTTTTTTTTTTTGGTACATAAAATGTTAAGGAAATGGATATTTGCAAAGCACTGAGAATCTGTGTCTCAGTAAGATACTGACATTAGTCTCTTGGCATCTTAGCCACTTACAGGACATGTACATGACAGCTCTGGCTTAACATCAGACATCCTTTAGAAATTATCCTGTACTTTCATTTTTCTTTTAAACATTGCCAAAGTGGTAAAAGAGATGAGCAAAGAGCAGTTTTAAAGGGGTAATTTGAACCCTGACCTTTGTTTATACAGAAGTAAACCATGCATTGGTTTGTCTGAGACCCAAATGAGAAACATGGTGTGTGATCTGAGAACTGAGAGAATTGGAAATGTTTGCTTCCCCTGCAAAAGTGACACCTCTTGTTTGCAAGTCACTGACACTTTTAAAGCTCAGTGTGATCTTAGGTGAGGAAGGAAAAGCTGTGGAGAGACACGGTTTATTTGGCAGCAGACAAATGTTGACACAGCAGTGATGTTGACTTTCTCTGCAGCTGTTGCTGTGCTAGTGTACTGCTTTAGAGTGGAGCATCAACCTTTTCCAGCACTACTGCTGCTAAAACATATTACTACATTTGCTCGCAGCAAATTTCTGTAAGTGGCTGTAAAAGAGTTCAATTCTGTTTAACCCAAAGTCAGTTTTATGCAGATAATACTACCCCTTAGCATATAGACCCAACTGCAGACCTATTTTCTAAACCTAGATTTAACACTTAATACAAAAAATTATTTTAAAATCTAATTCAATACTGACCTAAAACATGCTGCCAAGTAAATATTTTGTGTTTAAAAGTCCAAAAAGTATTTTATATGAATATTAAAAAAATCACCCAAAACATGCCTTACTATAGCTTTACCATTGTGAAAAAACCCAGAAAAAATAAAAAGTCCCCGAAATG